GAGAGAGAGAGAGAGAGAGAGAGAGAGAGAGAGAGAGAGAGAGAGAGGGAGAGAGAGAGAAGATAAAGACTACCACCTGAATGCGCCGTGTCGGCACTTGGCCAACGACACAGGGAGTAGAATACATATGCATTATGCCACTGTTAGCAATGAAAGTTATACGGTAAGTTGACCACAGTGTGAAACATCGGAATGAAAACAGGAATAATAACGAAACAATTCGATCGAATCAATCGGTGGCATTTTTTTCTCTTTCTTCTCTCGGTGTGTGTATACATGTAGTAAATCGGAATTCGTACCCAATTAACAAATTTTTTAGACGCTCCACATAAATTACATGAAAATACAAAACGAACGCACCACCAACAACACCACTGTTCATAACAGAATGGATACAACGTGGAAAAATAAGAAACATACGAAGCATAAAGTAAGACGCACAAGCGATTGAAAACAAGAAATCAAATATGATTTTGTGATATAGAACATTAAGGAAACGGTAGATAAACAAAATCCACTATTAAAACGACACAAAATAACATAAAACGAACCGGACAGTATCGAACTCAAAATTGATTATAGAGAAAAATGCTATAACACATTCACGCGCTATACAGAGCACGAATGCATTCATATTTCGATTGGTCTTCATCAGCTTCTTCTTCTTTTTCACGATTGATAAATAAAAGTCCTTGTTGATTTTTTTTTGTGTGTTTAGTGACCAAAGAAGACGACGAAAAGAATCTATTTTATGCTTTGGTATCATAAATTTTGGTGCAGCTGAATCAACGCGATTATTTTAACAATCGAATCGCGGATCGTAGGCCATTCAAATTTAAGTTGAATGGAACGCGTATTTCTGATTTTCGGTTCTCATGATGATTTTTTATTTTTTGAATTGATTCGCATTATAGCATAGAGCTAGGTCTCTTTTTTTATATTCCGTTGGCTTGACCGCAGAACATATTGTTAATTTCGATCGAAAGAAAGGAGAGAAAAAGAATAATCGGGCGACACGAACAGTAGCCAAAAATATCTTTTTTTTTCCTTTTGGCTATGGGAACTCAATTAATCAACATTTTTCGTTCTCAATTTCCAATGAAAACTATACCCAAACTGGGCCGGACAACCGAAAAATTTAACAATGAATTGAATTTTGGGATACAAGAGAGTATTTCAGTAGCTGCATATTCAAAATGAAAACTATTTGCTAATTGACGGTTCGTCTCAAATTATGCGCTCAAAATACAATAGAAATGTTTTCGTCGTCGTCGTTATCATCGTCGTTGCCACCGGTGGGAATCATCAAATCACACACATCAATCAAAATTCCTTTCTTTCTCTCACGACGAAATAGAATTGTGGATATGTTATTTTTTTTTATCCGCCCAAAGAATCATCATCGCCGCCAAAATACATGTTCTTCTTTTGAACAGATGTTATGAGTCAAGATTTTGCACATCAAAAAAATATCCTTAGAAGACGATCGTATATTTTCTACGAGTAATTATTTTCAATTTTGTGCTTTATTTCTGTTTGGCAGAATAAATGCGCCGTTGCATGAGTGTGGTAACTATACGGCCAATTGTCATTACAAATGTGTCATAATAAAAGTTGGGTGAACCAATTTACAATCGTTTACTTCAATTCGCCAAGAAAAAAGTAAACAAACATAAATAATGAATAAACTGATATATTAAACCGTTGTATCGAACGATATCGCGATCGATCGACACCGGCATCGGCTACATGCCAAACAATTCCAATGGTGTAATTCTTCTTTTGCATAATGGATCGTAAACACTAAACACTTGAAAAGATACTAGATTGGAGCGGCCTAATCCAAGTGCAACACAAATAAAATATCTTGCAAGATGTAAGACGATAAAGCATGTCAACCCGGGTAAAACGTATTAGAGAAAAGAAAACTCATTTAAACGCAAAATCAAATGTATCATATACTTAAATGATGGCCTCGGTGCGTTTTTTTTATTCTTTGCCCATGAATTTAGTCTTCTGGTTTTTTTTTTCATCCGCAACATACGATGAAATTAAAATCAGAGGAAAAATAAGGGAATATAACTAGCAAACAAGGCTAAATCGTCTTGTAAATGATGCTTTTATTTGTGGTCGGTGTGTTTAGCATTTGCCGTTGTTCATATCTCTTTTTCTCTCTCTCACTTTCAAAATCGAATAAATTTGTCCGGGCATGAAATTCAGTATTGTGAATATGCATTAAGAATTTGATTGTTTGTTTATTTCCAATGTTGATGTTCAATTTTTTGTTTTTCTTCTTTGCATATACACACTGTGTATTACACACGTCCATCGTCTACCAAATTGCTTGTTCAGCGTGCGAATGACTTGTTTGTTCATTTATTTTGTTTTCTATTTCTCGTAGAGTTTGGCCATGCGTTTTTACGATCCATACAAAACATTCATCTTTCCAGCACCGGTTGAGTGATATATGCGAACAAATATATTTGCCAATATGTTTTGCGGCTACAAGTAAATAAATTCTCGGTTTGGCTCTTCTTCTGGCCTGCACTATTCTCTCTCTATATCCTTTCCTTTTTCCCCTGGAGCCTGGATCAATGTTGCTGCTCATTTTTCGTTCTTGAAGGTCTGTGAAACCAGTGTATTGTGATCACACAGGCATTCTTGAACGTTCGTCGTCAATCGGACAAGAGATTTGTTACTGCAATGAAAATAATCATATTGTTGAAATATTGAGGAATTACTTCATTCTTCATGTATGTTTGCGTATGATTTTTTTTCTGCTTGTATTTTTTTTTTTTTTGAGCATTTCAATTGTGCTATTTACTTGTTCACGATTCATTGAAACGATGTGAGTAAACATCAATATAGTTTCTTTTTTTCATCGTTTTCTTCATCGCCCTAGCCAAGGCACAACATAACCAAAACACACAAGCACACTGAAAGGCAATAACAAACCATAAACGTAAGAGATGCAATCGAATAAAGCAAATATTCAATTTTTCAATGCATTTCAAAGCCTATAAATAATTTATCGATTTTCTTTATCATAAGGTCGATTGTACGTGTATAAGTCAAATTATCGCGCCGCAGAGAAATTGAAATCCAATGATTGGGTTCTCTATCTCTCTCTATGTATTTCATTCGTTCTCTTCACAATGGACCAAATGAAATGTATATGCATTGAATGCACATTTTAAAATCGATATTAAGAAGTGAAAACAAAACGAATTGGTTTTTATATGGCATCGCACCTACACAATGCAATCATTCAGCACCTCGAAGGGCTATAATGGGAATGATTAATATTTGGTGCCAAAGTGAAAAAAGATATGTGCACTCAGTCGATTGCTGGAGCATTTATTGCTATTTCATCGTTCAGTCAATTAAATTGCCGCCGTATCGAAAATTTCAACGAAAAGTGATACCAGACCAAGAGGTGAAATTGTCAGAGCATATACATTCTTTTTCGTGCATATTTTAACTGAAGCAGAACATTTTCATTGAAGTGAAACTGCAATTAAGAGTTTGATTTAAAGTGATGAGTGTTTAGATGTACCTTTTTCGAAATATGTAAACGTCACAATGCAACTAGTTTCATATATGGATTTGGGACCCAATGAACGAAAACCGATTATTTATTTGCAACATTTGATATGAAAGTGCTGCTTGAAATACCAGAATTTGGAATAGACTCCAATGATGATTAATATATTTTCAGTCAACTGAATAAACTCAGGCAGATACCATAAGGCGTTGAAATGGAGTGAAACAAGTCAAACATTTGTTACTTTGACCAATTTCCTCATATGACCACATCACAGATTATGATATTCCATATCAATAAAAAACAAATATGAATAAGTTTGTATAGTAAGAAATTTTTATTATTCAATAGCCAGCAAACAAATTTGTAATGTTTTTAGTACATTCTAACGTTGAAAAATGTAACGTTTTGGCCCATTCTGGTGGTCATTTTCGTGTCAAATGGAACGGAGATTATATGCATAGTTCCCACGAATTCCAATGGAATGGATCCACTTGTTTCTTTCACTTCCAATAATATTTCATTTGACAACATAATGTGAACACAACCCAATACATTAAGTTTTAAATTGAAAATCTAAATCTTACGCTCAAATAAAAAAATAAACAATTTATTCGGAAAGAGATTTGCATAATTTAATTTAAAACACTGCAGAAGAACTCTTCTATACGTCATTTATTGAATTTAATTTTCTTTATTTGTGGAATTATTATTTTGAATTTTCGAAATGCAACTGACATCTTTCTGACATTTTTCGATTGGCGCGGTGTATATGTGTCAAACCAAATGCAACGATATTCATTTATATGATTTTGTTTACAATAAAACTTTGTTTTGTTTTCAACAGGATTTCTTGAGAATTATATGAGAGTGTTTGAAGCGTGGTTTGGGCGATCAATTGGTTTTATTGTCATTTCAAAAACGATTTTATGTGTTTGGAATGCTGTTCCCTGTGGAATGGATATATTCACAGTTGGTTTTGTGACTGTCTTTGTTTTAATTTCGAAATAACAGAGTGTTGATAAAATTTGCTGTGAATATTCCAACAACATTTCGATCGGCAAAATATTTGATGTCACATTGGAAATAAATTTCATCATTCGATTTAGAACACAGTGCCACTTTGTTGAGGTAAGACGTGATATTTATGATGCGTTCTTCATTACTGTTTCATTTAATTTGTGATAGAAGTGTTTATATCTTATTGTGTTTGTCTATGCAATATTTGGTGTATTTTTTTCTTTAATTTTTGTACAATAGATCTGTCACGATGAGAAGAAAGAGAGCCGAAAATGGGCGCAGTACGTCGTTGAAGATGATTCTAAATCAAGTGCTGCGGGAAGAGTATCGTGCACCATTCATCGATCACGTCACATACTGGTGCCTTTCGGCCACAATGATAACGACTCTGGCGTCATTACTGTTTTTGTTCAAAGCAAACAAAGCCTTTGACGATGAAAATGTTCGATTTTTTAAAGGTGAATCCGATGAATACACGAATGATCAATTCAATAAATACGTGAATGGTGTAATTGGTGAATGTTTCACCTCGGTATTACAAGAAAATTACCACAAATTACCGCTTGCATTTCGACGAACTGTGGAGCAAGCATGTCCTGATTTTCTTCGTCCAGAAAATTGGCCAGCTCGCGAGGGCATGGGAAACGCATTCAATCATCTCATCACTCAGTACATAACAAACGTGAAAAATAACATCAAAGTATGGGCATTCAGTCGCATCAAGAAATTTTTCACACTAAAGCGCTACGAACTGAATTTGAATCAACAAGGAAATCTCATCACTGAATTGGATGTAAAACGTGCGACGAAGATCGTAATGTTCCAGAGTAGAGTCGAGAGAAACGCGAACATCGATCTTCTATTAAACGAAGCAGCAGGCATTGGATTGCCAATCAATGTACACTTCCAGAATCTCATTCGTGATCGCTGGTTCCAAACCATCCCAATATTTATAAACATTCAGCGACAAATTTTCGATTTTCACGCGAAATATGAAATGTTGAAACAACACTGGTTCCAATATCGACGCGATCCGAACAATAATGTCATGCCGACCACTCCACTCCCGCCAAAAATAAAGAATTTCTTAGTAATTCCAGTCCACGATTTCGATATGAAACATATCCGCATCGATATCCATCTTTTTTATTTGATTGCAAGCAAATTTGGAGCGTTGAAATTGGCAAAAGGAAAACGTGGTCAGCCAATAAACATTGAAAAAACTGAATACGATAGCAATCCAGCTATCTATTGGGATTTAATATTTGAACTGCCAAAAATATCGAAACTTGGAAATGGTAAGGAATTCGATTTTGCTGTGGCAACCGATAGTGTGGCAGTTTCGTTATGTTTCGTGAAGCCTGAACGCAATACACCAGAACTTGATAACAACACCATCAAAGAGAAGTACAATAATTTTGAGTTTGATTATGTGCTTGGAATCGATCCAGGAGTTCGTACATGGAACGCTACCGTTCGCAAACACGTTCGATCCGGCAACGAGGATCAAGGATATTTATCATTTGTTTACTTCTATGATTTTTTGTTCGTAAATCTCAGGAAAACATCACAATTGATGGTCCAAAATACCATTTCAAAGCGAAATATGGCAAACGCAAGCGTAAATCCGATCAATGGACTGAATTGTTGCAAAAACAACGGGAGCTCGACTATAAACGCTATGCATTTTTTCCATCGCCGAAAGGACGTTCACATTGGATGTGTTACATCGCTTATTATGTGAAAATGATGAAACCAGCTATGGCGGTGTACATAACAAGAAAGTTTATTCGACTCCGTCTCGATAAATACATCGAAGAGAATCGGGCCAGTGACAAAATCGCGGCATCACTGACGAAAAAAAAGTCGGCGCTCGTTTTTATTGGTGCAGCTCAAATAGCTCCAAACTCACCAATTGGTATTAAAAAGCGATTGCGATGCCCGGGATTACGACGACTATTGAACAGTTTCAAGAAGTTGGGAAATTGTATTGTACGATTGGTCGACGAATACAATACATCGCTAACTTGTGCAAAATGTTTCCGGCCATTCGATCGACGAACCAAAAGCGATCGATACAAAGTTTGTCAGCATTGTATTCCAAGTGAAGATGAGTCATCGCAATGGAATTTACCGAACGTGATTATCACCATGGAAAGCAACCGAGTGTACCAACAATTGCGTAAATATGCAGTTGATTTTGTTAATCGATTGAATGCAGCCAACCCAGATCATATTCCAATGGATTCAGATGGTTTAGTGTCAAAACTTCAAGTATGTTTCAAAAATGGGCAACTAGACACTGGCATTTGGAAAGATGATCGAGCTCCATTTCAATTGAAAACTGTTTGGCACCGGGATATCGTTGCAGCCAAGAACATCATGTACAAAGGTGAAAAAATATCACTGAAATTAAAAATGTTTAAGAATGTTTTGGCTAACAATTTGTTGTTTACGATTTTGTTTTTAGGTCTTTGTACGGTGTTGGGATTGGACATTCATCCGCAACTATTGAGACCACAGAATCAAAATGCTGCTGTACAAAATCAAGCAGCTGACGATGAGGATTCCAGTGACGATGAGGACTACGTTTATGTTCTCGATGTTTCCGATGACGACCAGTTTTAATTACATGTAGCATTAAGATTTCTTTTTAAATAATATTATTGTAACGTTTTGTTACTATGCTGGGCTTGAGTTTTGTGGCCTTGACCGAAGTACGGGCAGTTCGGTATATAAAATAACCCGTAGGTGAGTATCATTTATTGAACTGAACCGATAGTATATTGATGTTGATTCATACTTAGTAACTGAGTTTATTTTTTCTCTTTTTTCTTTCCATTGCGACGTTGAAAATGACTGAAACTACACTCAAATCCGACCCCAATATTGACCGTCAAAATAAAGACTGTATCGTCAATAAAATCATTGGCATTTATTTTAAAATATGTGTGTGCTTAAAGTGCATTGTATGGAAGGTAACTGAAATGCTACAGTACAATTTTTCTCAACAGCTTAATAATGACCAGTTATAATATTATGGAGAATTCTATTACACACAGAGAAAAAATACAATGAAAACTAGATGACTTGTCGTATAAAATTTGGAACTAGGTGACACTCCGTATAAAATTGTATTTGTCCAATGTCCATCTAATTTCATACCAAACATCGTTTTTGTGTATTCTCTTTTGTGCGAACTGCTCTTCGTTTATGCTTTGAATGATATTTTGTATGAAATTAGATGGAAAAATACAATTTTATACGGAGTGTCAACTAGTTCCGAATTTTATACGACAAGTCATCTAGTTTTCATTGTATAATTTCTTTGTGTGTATGCTCTCAATGTTTTCACTGTGAATTATTATTCTTTCTTTTTAAAATGTAATATCATATTAATTTGCTATTCTAAAAAAATGTTTTTGGCTATTTATTGATGTATGCATTTATTTGTCGAATGAATATGAAATTCTCGATAGTTAATTTATCGTTAGAAATTCTATGATCAAAAAAATGACTTAATATATGCTTTGTATTTGCTTTATAAAGTAAGTGAGAACATCTCTTCGAATTTATGATCAGCAAAAAAATAAATGAAGAGTATTTAGATTTAAAAAAAACGTCCAAGTATGAATTTCCAGTGAAAATTTATAAAACACTTTTTTCAATTGTAAAATTATAAAACTCTTGTGAATGTCTTTTTTTGGTTTCATTTGATTTAGTGGAAGAACATCAAACTAAATCGACATCATTTTTTATATGATACAAAATATTTCTGTCAGAATTTTCTACACTTTCATATTTACTTCAAACTGAAAATTAATTTTAAAAAAAATCTATTGTTGATTTGCGTGTGTGTGGTTCAATTTAAAACTTTCATTTCGATATAATTCATTATAATATTACTTTTTTTTTTTAAATCTTATACTTTTTTGTTTTGCATAAAAATCCTTTAGTTGATTTTGTACCGATTCAATAAAATCATCTTGCTTTTTGTTCGATTTGCCTACGGTCATTACCAATAACATCATAAAGGCATTAAATTTTTTTTGTTTCTTTTTTAAAAATTAGGTATAATTTCTGTAAAAATCATTATCATAATATGTTTTTTTTTTATTATACATGGTTTCGTATTTTGAATGAACATAAAAAGTATTATGTGTGTATTGTTTTCATTTAGGTGCGAATAAAGAAAAGATTCTTTCATGAATTAAAATGTAAAAAGGCAATAAAATGCTAAGAAAAAAAAAACATATTGTAAAAATAGCATCTTGACTTAAGACTTTGTGACAATTGAGTAAATAGATTCAGTTTTTGTATCTTGTTTAAAGTGTAGTTTGAAAAAATTTCCGAAGACATTGTGTAAATTTTCTTATTAATCTTATATATATAAATATTTTATTTTGCTTTTCTTGATCCAACGGCGTTATTGTCTGCGTTTAGGGCTGAACGAATATTATTTGTTCGATTCAAATTGAATGGCACCTGAAGAAAAAAAGTTATACATTTGCATTAATTTAAAATGAAAAGTTCAATAAATTTAATGAATGAAGTGAGCGAATAGAATCAACGAATTCTGAATGCTGAACCAAGTAGTCCAGAGGTAGTGGCAACCTCGAGTACAATATTTGAATTGTGAGAAAGAGAATCGAGGGCCTCGATGTAATGTTCTGATTTTTTTTTTTTTTTTTTTTTCAAAACACACACGCCGAAAGGACTTTAAAGGTTTGTTGTTTAAAATGACAAAACAAATTTGATTAGACATAAAATGATGCATGACTCACGGCTGCTCTTTGATCTTCCATTCGGCCTCCTTGTACACGCATAATGAGTGAAAAGAAATCTTCATCGGGTACTGTTGCTCCGGCATTATTTGTATTATTGTTCACGCAATTTCGACGATTGTTATTTGGTGGTTCGCCCTGTTCCATGTCCAATGTTACATTTGTTCGTGGCAATTCGGAGCGTTGCTCTTCGAGACGTGAGCCTTGGCATCGCATCAACATATCGAGGAATGCATCATCTGGAGCTGGTTCACCTGAGCTGCTATTCGTATTTCGTGCAGCCGATTGTTGATTATTAATCAAATTGCGTCGGGTGTTTTGGTTTTGAGGTGATGGAACAAGACCTGGTAATGTTGTTGGCAACTGAGCACGCTGTTCATCCATTCGTTCCGATTGCAAATCGGCAATCATTTCCAGCAAAGCATTTCGATTTTCTTTCGTTGATTGTGGCGTCATTGGTACAGCCGGTAAACTGTTTTGTTGTACAAGTGGCTTTCGAATTGCGGGTGGTTCTCGACTGGATTGTGATTGTGAATGACCAATCACTTTTAATGAACAACGTTGATCATCCATACGTTTGCTCTGCGTTCGTGTCAACATCTCGAAGAAGTCTTCTTCATTCGCTTTCGGTAATGTTGATTGTACTGGAATATTTGCATTGTTTTCATTGGCTTGTGCATCACTATTATTGTGTGGATTTGTAATGTTACGTTTACCATCCGGTGTCAACTGTATTTCAAAAAAATATATACATATTATTTAAATGTACATTATAAGAGTTTCAATTCTAGCAATATCATTCACACAAACACAAAATATACCAAAATAACAAAAAATAAAAATATAAACAACAAAAGTGCAAACTCAAATTAAACTCCAAAAAAGACACATAACATAAAGGAACAGAAAAATCAAACGAAAGAAAAAAAACCTTAATCAAATCCAATTGTTCCATGCTTTGACGTCGTACCCGAATTTGTCGTGAGCTACTCTCTCGCGTTGTGTTATTGCCCTGAGATGTGCTGGTGCTCTTTTGTGATTGATTTGTAACATCGTTATTATCAGTTGATTCATCGTCCGATGGAATGTCTGGCATACCAAGCACCTTCCGCAAATCGGATACATTCATTCTAGCTGTCGCCTCTCCAATTGAATCGCCAAGCTAATCATTAAATTAAGTAAGAGTTAAGTTTCTCCATTGATACCACGAAATAAATTCATCATTTCCAAAAAAAATTAATTATGCTTACATCTTTGGCAAGACCATAATGTTGTTGTGCAAAACTCAATGCTTTATCATGATTGCCAATGGATGAATGTGCATTGCCCAAACTCCAACATGCTCGTGCCTCACCCACTTTGTCGCCGAGCTCTTGTGCAATTGTCAAATGACGTTGATGGTATTCAATAGCGACCGGAAAATCTCTCAATAAAGTGTAGGTATTACCAAGACTGTAACAAGCTTGCGCTTCAACCGCACGTTCACCCAAATCAATTGCGAGTGCTAGTGTCCGTCTTTTGAGTACAAAAAGAAAAAAAATGAAAATTTCTCTACCACACTCCATTATTCGATCAAATGACGTACTTATAGTGTTCAGCCGCCTCTTCAAATTGGCCAAGAAAAATGTGAGAATTTCCCAAATTACTGTTGGCTCTTCGTTCGGCTGGCTTATCACCAAATTCCCTGGCAATGCTTAACCGTTCTTGATGATGCTCAATGGCAGCCTCAAAATCACCAAGCAAATAATAAGTATTTCCTAAATTACCACAAGCACGACCTTGTGCTCCACGATCGCCCAACTCTTTCATTAAAGCAAGATTCTGTTGATAGAACTCAACGGCTTTGACAAGTGAGTCTTTCACTTCATCCGAAAAATCGCCGGGATCTGATTGTCCCATATGCTTTCCCTTTGCATGGTATACATTTCCCAAATTATAGAGTGCTCGACCCTCAGACAAACGATCGCCCAATTGTCGTGCCAACGTTAAATGACGTTCACAGCATATAGCCGCCTCATCAAAACGGCCCATTACTTTTAGTGTATTACCAAGATTGCCAGACGATTTTGCTTCGCCCAATTTATCTTCCATGGATCGAGCCAATGTTAGATCTAATTTGTGATAATGCATTGCTTTTGCATAGTCATTTAAATAGAAATATGCATTCCCTAATTGACTATATATGGCACTCAGAGTTCGTAGATCATCGGTTCCAGCTTGTATGGCAGCCTAAAAGAAACCAAGAAAAAATTAAGTTTTTGTATTTTTTTATATTGAATTTAACTCACTTGAAAAAATGCAACACCCGCATTACAGTCGCCAGATTTGCACAGACGTTCTCCTTCCAACGCAAGCTCCAGACACATTGATGATCCATCATTTGTCTGAAAGAATAATGAACATTTCAATCAATTTACATTGGTTTTTCAAATACACAGACAATAGTCGGCCACTTTTCAAGTAAATGTTTTGATTTTATTCCAATGAAATGGCTTTTCGAACAAGATCAAAATAAACGGTCTTACACATATCATTTCCGTTATTTATTTGTCTGCTTGATCTTTCATTGAACTCAGTCATTCACTCAATTGAAATGAAACGTTTTTTTCTTTTACAAATGTTCCGTTTGAAAAAGAAGTCATCTATTATTAGACCTTATCACAATGAAAAAATGTAAAATATTTTATCAATTTTTCATGTTTGTTTTTATTTTCAAAATCGTCTTCGAATGGTTTGTTTATGCCTGTGTGGGTATGCATGTAAAGCAAACAACAAAATGCATTTCAAAATATAATGTAAATATATTTGTAGACGTCGTAAAGTGCGTACACAAAAAAAAAGAAACAAGACATAAAACAGACACGGGCATTCATCGTAATTGATTCATTACTCATTCCGTACAGTATTTAAAATTAAATTTTAAAGTTTCACATAGTGCACGTCCCTCATCACACAGAGCAGAGCAATGTTTGCGTTGAGTTTCAACTGGACAATGTGTGTACTTAACCGTTGATTAAAGCATTTTAATTAGTCAATAGGTTGATTCATTGAATCCACTTAAAAATATATGAGAGTGAGATGCGTAGTTTTTGTTGTTGCTTTCAAGTCATATTCTCAGCGTCAACGGTAGCAAAATTATATTCGCAAAGAAAAAAGTATAGAAGAAAAAAATGTATCACGGCAGATAAACAACAACCTACTTTCTTGCAGATCCATGAAGATAGATCCGTTTTTTTTTGTGTCGGATATGAATGAGATAAAATAAAAGAATGTGAAGCAAAAAAAAAAATGTCACACATGGAGATGTATATCAAGTGATAGAAACATTGTCATAGTCTGACACAGTTCCGACCGAGTTAATTTCGATGCACTACAAAATGATGTCGAATGGAATGCGCAACATAAATTCAAAATATTCAATGAAAGAATACTATCAATAATGCAGATAGACTTATACCTGTGAATCATTGTTACTAGCTAAATGTTCAACACTCGTGGATAATGACGACATTCTTTGTTTCTTTTAAATGTTGTCTGTTGATTTGAATTTAAAGTTTAGTCAGTCGCTGTACTTCAGGGGGGCTTCGATCGCGGTCAATGTTTTGTAAACTAAACGACGGTGAGTAATACAAATTTCACTTTGAACAAAAATTACACGACGAAACAACCACAAACAGCTTCTTCATACAAATTCAAACAGATTATTGTAACTGAGTTGACGAAATACAAAATAAAAAATTTGAATGACACAAAAACATACGCTCTTTTACGCGCACGTACACTGCATCAACTAAACAACACAGACTGAATGCACTTTTAAGATCAAAATCAGCTCGATGTATTTTTTTTTAAATTCAAATTAATGTTCTTTGTTGATTGTACTGTCGTAAAATTTGCCCGTTCGATTTATTCACAATTTTGACACCGTTCGATTTATTCACAATGGTTTTATATTCGCATTTTCACTTATTTTGCCATTACGCACGCACGAAATCGAATTTATTTCACTGATTTCTGAATGATGTATGGTGTTTTATGTCAGCGCTTAAAATTCTGTATTAGTGCTAGTGGTGCAGCATTTTATTTCTCCAGTGATGAATCTCTGTGTTTTTTTTTTCTTTTCAAAGAAACAACAACTACATTGAACACGAATGAGCTATTTCTCTTTATTCGGCCTGTAAACATACGCATCAGCTAAACAAATCACATACACACAGTTGCGCACTCACACACACAAAAGAAACATTTTTTGTATATATCTCACGTTATTTTTAACGTATTTAGAACGAGACAACAATAACACTACCATTACATTTGACACAAAGCAACCGAGTGAAACTGCATGCATGACTATACTCAATGCGGTGTGTGCATGTGCTGTCGCTGTAAAAGTGTGCTTTTATTCAAATGTGTGGTGTTTCTCAAACGATTTGGAACTGTCAACAATACAAATAATTTACACATTACATTAGACGCTACACACATCGATAGTGTCTCGCTCTGGACAACAGATGGCGTTCGCAATTTTTTTTTTTCATTGTATATATTTTTCAAAGAAATAGTAAAATAATGTGAAAAATATTAAATTTAGTGTCAATCATGAACAAAGGCAAACGTTCAAATTACAGAGCTCACTTGGATTGAATCTGTCTTAATTTTGTCTCCATATTCAAATAGAAGTCATTCATGAATAAGCATATTATATCTCCAAAATCATTTCTCTCATTCCTTTTTTTAAGGTTAAATTTTTGCAGACAGAGAACCGTTATAGTTAACAAAATCAATGTCATTCCTTGAGAAGAACACACATTTACAAAAGATCTTACTTAATCAAAGCAACCAAAGACTACTAACAGTACAAACCATATTGTTTATGTTTCAGTTGATGTACTTGCTGCTGAAAATGTTGTGAGATATTACTACAACTGAAAATAAAATCGAACGAAAAATGCCGAATCTATCTTTTCATGAACATTTCATTTTAATTAATATTAAGTTTGCTGTTAACATACCGACTTTCAACGAAAGTCAACCAATTATGATAATGATCAAATTTCAATTTTATCATTGCAAATACTATTCTTTTAGTTTTTAGAAAATGAATATATCAAATATTTTAATAAATTTAAATTTAAATAAGCACATTTTAACGAAAAAAAGACGTACATTTTCTTTGTTTGATTAAATGAGTAAACTTTTTTCTAACTATTTTCTTCAATATTCACCAAACATTTTTATTTTACGATGAATGATTTTTTGGGATGTCGTTTTTGTTTTTATGTAACTTACAAGTCAAAGCCGGCAATAACTGTGATAGATTTTTGCGAATCGGCGTCATCGTCTGAAATGTTCACTGTGTCATCAGCGTCAATCGCGATTGGTTCGGCTTCCAAAACTTCTTTGTTTTCGGCATCGTTTTCAATTTCCACTGAATTAGCGTCCATGTCCTTTGATTTGTCTTCAACGTTCACATCGCAAACCTCATCGTCTTCAACCTGATCATCTTCAGCCTCATTGTCTTCAACCTCATCGTCTTGAGCCTCTTCAACCTCCATTTCATCGGTTTCACCCGTAGTGACTTGCTTGTATGTAAAACATACATTGCTGCTTCGTGATTTTGCACCTTTACCACCACGTTGTACCAATTCCACTATATCTGCAGTCATTGACAAGTTTTCCATGGAAGAACGCAATCGATGGTTCAAAGTTGCCAATTTAGCTTGCATCACTTCGATTTTGTTTTCCATCCGTATCGTTTTACGTTCGGCTTCAACTAATTGGACATCTTTTTCGGTCAATACGTTCTTCAAATTATCTCGTTCAGCAATCAACTTTGCGAACTTTGTTTTCAAACGTTCTTCGACACTTGTACCAATTAACTTGTAATTATGCAACTCTTTTTCCAACTGTTCGCGTTTCGACATGTTTGTTTTTCGTGTTAACTTGTGTTACCTTGTAAAACGGTATCGATGAGACGATGACTTACGTGCGATGTAAATCAGTCGATGGATCGAGAGCAAATGAATCGAAATGCGACCTTACCAAATAGATGCACTGTAAAATGGTCGTCGCTCACACACATATACATAGGTACATGGAGGCAAATATAATATCACAATCGCCACCGCACAAAAACCACCACCAAAGATCACACCACACTTGAATTTACGTGATGCGTGTATTTGTATCGGATTCGATTGACGAGTAAACGATGACAACTAATCAAGTTTCGTTTTGGTGTTCCAAATCACAAAATGATATTGATATCCACATAATACTGTCCTGTTATTAAAAATTTATTCATTGAATTGTAATGTATGTGCAAATAAAAGTGTACGCTTTAAATTTTTCTGTTTAAAATTTATCAATTCATTACTCGGTCGTTCATTTTTTTATTTCCAACGAATGGAATATTTTCATATACCGAGAATTCGTAAAACGATTTTTTCATGTTCAACTTTGAACTTCAAAGTGAATAAAAAAATATTCGGAGATCATGTATTTTGTATTCAGATTTATTATTATTATGCAGAGTAGATAACATCACATTTCAATTCAATTTTCTATTAATTGAATTTGTGTTAATTGTTCTTTTGTACAATATATGCAATATATCGTCGAACAATAATCAAAATTCTAGTGAATATCGCCTTTTTATTTTCTTTTTTTTTTCAAAAAAAAAAAAAAAAGAAATAAAATAAAATATATGTTAATATATAAAAATAATCCGTTTTTTTCGTGCATTCAATCACATGCAAAATGTCGATGTCGAAATATTCATTATCCAAACGTATTCCCTGAAATTTATATGCTCGAATAGAAAGTCATTACTCTAAGGAGTTTCAGTGGTTTCTTCATGTACGATGCTGCATGCACTATTGTAAATTGGTGTTTCATCAAGAAGTGCGAGATTTTTTTTGAATAACGTTGAAGCAACGTCCAAGCGATTTTCATCGCGTAGATCAACAACGTATGTTGTTCTTTTCAATTTTTCGCAAAATTCAATGCCAACAACCGTTGCACTGCACTCGGCTCTCATAATCTGTTCGATTCCTCTTTTTGCCAAATAATCCCATGGTTTGCACTCTTTGATGCGATTTAAACGGAAATGCATTACGTACTCCGGATACTCGTCCCACATGCTGTTATATTTGAAAATTTGTGACACTTTCACCTTTGCATAATTGCCATAGTCCACATAGAATACACGGAACACATGTTTATCGATAACGCCAACTACCTTAGCTCGATAGAATTTTTGCTTGGCATCGGTGGCATTATACATTGCAACCACCTTGTCGTATAACATCGGTGTACATTCATCAGTATACGGCTCCAAATGTCGTGTGTACATTTTCTTATTAAAATATATCGAGAACTTATCTACTTTCATTTTATAAGAATCATTTGGTAAACTGGCGTAAAACTCTTCGACGCTAATCATGTGTTGGTAAAGCAGCTTAAGTTTTTGACCAATTTGCAATTTTTTCGGTTTCACGAAATCGGCCATGATCGAACGTGGTTGTGTCTGGTTTTTATTTATAATTGATTTTGTTGGCGTTATTTTTGGCGCCAAAAGCAAGTTCTCGTTTAATTCGTCAGTGGTGTGTGAAATGTTGTTGTTCATTTCAACTGTTTTGATGTTTGCATCAAATGGATTTAATGATCGATTCAGCGGTTCAATTGTGAAACTTGTGATTTTATAATTTCGTTGCAACAGATTAATGATATTTGGCTTCAATTGATATGAAACATCATCATTTTTAACGTTGAAATTATCAGCTGCATCCTTATTTTCGACCAGCTCTGGTATGGCTTGTGCCGTATTTGGTATCGATATCTCATTGAATGGATTGAAGTCATTTTGTTTCAATCGCGATGTTGTTTTATCCAGATTAAAATCATTTAGCTTCAATTGACACGAAACGTCATCGTTTTTAATGGTGTTATTGTCAGCTACATCCATACTTTTTTCGGCCAACTCTGATTTGTCTTGTGGCATATTTGTTGTCGATATCCCATTGAATGGATTGAAGTCATTTTGTTTCGATGGTAGTATTGATGGTGATGTTGCTTTGTTCATATCAAAGAAATACATGTAGAAATTCCATTCATTTTGATGTTCAATCGCAAATGGATTAACCCCCGGACCAATAACATCAATCAACATTAGACTATTGTCGTTACATATAACTTTGTAGTGAACACGCGTGTGGAGTAAATCAAAAATGCTCTTGTCGTCTGGCACACGAATTAAACGGCACATCTTCGCATATGGTGGAATTGATTTGGCTACTTGTGTAACTTCATACAGTTCATTTGGTCCAGTGCTTATGCGAACCACACAACCAATATCAACGAACAATGCACTATACTGGTGATCTGGACTGTTTGGTTCATATTCCAATCGGACTGCACGAACCATATACTTTTCTTGGTAAACATAAGCAAACATTTCACCAGGAACTGGTGTACGTGTCAATCGTTTTGGTACAGCACCATACAAAATCAATGGATCTGGCATTGATTGCACATCCGTAATATAAAGAATGTCACTCGATTCGTTCACGATATGAGAAATAAAACCAAGTCCCATATAATCAGATTTGCGTACAGTCTCACCATTTGTTGTGTGTGATGGTTTTTTACTATCGTTTAGCTTGAGCTCATCGAGTATCGAGTACATAGTCAATTGGTTGGCTGTGGTGTTTGTTTGGTTTTGTATGTCATTTGAATTTGTCGTTGCATTGATCCGATCAAATTTCTGCAGTCCTACATTGAATTGTTTCCATTTGGTGCAAAGCGATGAGAGAACAACATCTGTTTTCGACGATTCCAAATCATTGATTTGCGCTGATTTTATTGAATCCGACTGCAAATTAATTTTTTTTATTGATCTCGACAAGCGAAGAAAATGTATCGAAAAAAAAATCAACAAAATTAATTACCAAAACATCAAGTTGTCCCAAATTTAATTTCGTTCTTTTGATGGTATTCTGCAGTTTTTCAAATGTATTTGCAAATGTATTCGCACAATTTGCGTTCAGAATACCCATTATGTCGACCAATGTGATTAATTTGCGCCAACTGAAAGTGATGAAAAGCGTCGTTTTGATTGAATGTGTACTGATCGACATGCGGATACTTGTATTCTCAATTTTTTTTAATTTATACTATACTTACCAACCAAAACGTCCAAAACGTGAACTGTCAATTCAACCAATGAACCATTGCACGCGGCTCAACAGTAGCGTGCTGATTAATTGGTTAACTGTTAATCAAAGTGTATGCCTATATATTAATAATTGAATAATGAACACAATAAATCTAATGCACATAAACACTGACCAAGAAATCCATAAAAAACCTATTAACAGCGATTTTCAACTGCAATTCTATTTTAAGAGCATCACTCAATAATTTGTCAAGAGATGACGCGCACGAATTTCTGGAAATTATTTCATCAAATTATCAAATTCATTGATTTTTTGTGTCTGTCAATATTAATTTTAATTATAAATTCAATCAGCGGCAATATTCTGTCTCACTCAAGTTTAATATACATTCATATCAATTTCAATCGCATTGGCTGTCAAATGTCAGGCAGTGTGACATTTCGAATGATTGAAAAGTAAACAGTAAACAATTCCGGTGATTTTTTGTGCGAAAAATAATTATTGTCAATCATTATGAAAACGGTAGCAAGTGAAGAGCATTTGAAGCTGTCCAGTGAAATCAAGGCATTACATTCAACGCTACGCCAAAACACCAAGAAATTGGGAGCAAAACAAGCATGGCATGAGCATCTTCAGGCAAAATCAAAGCTCCAAAGTTATTCCAAAGCAATGCGAGAATTGGCTGTTAATCATTGGGAAGTGAATGATCGCAAGCAGGAAGAGACCACATCAAAATCTCAGCAACGAAGTCGCATCACATGGACCGTTAATTATTGCCGTGAATATTTTTTATGTGAGGATTTAATAAATAAAATACGTCAACGTGAGCTACGGCTTCTGGACGAATTGAAAATCGACTGCACTGACATAAATGGAACTATTGCTGCGAAACAACATCCGCTGGTGGGACGAATAAAGTTTCTTGATGTTGGCAGTTGTTACAATCCATTCAAATCATTTTCCGAATTTGATGTGACAGCGGTCGATATTGCACCAGCAATGGAAGACGTTTTCGAATGTGATTTTTTGAATGTTGAACTTGGTGATTGTATTGAAGTATCCTCGGGTAACGACAACAAATCATCGACAATCAATAAGTTGGAGGTAAACGGTTATGATGTTGTTGTATTCAGCCTACTTTTAGAGTATCTACCAACATCTGAACAACGATTGAAATGCTGTGAAAAAGCATTCAAACTCTTAAAGAACGGTAATGGCTTCTTGAGGTTGAGATTTTCTTTCAACGGAATGAATTTATTTTAACAATTTCTTTTTTTTACAGAAGGTCTCTTGATCATTATTACGCCGGATTCAAAACATGTCAATGCAAATGCAAAATTGATGAAAACCTGGCGATATGCATTGGCTCAACTTGGTTTGGGGCGCATCAAAATTGAGAAACTGGAGCACATCACTTGTATGGTATTTCGAAAATGCCTCGATCCAGAAATTAGTCTACGATGGAGTCGTATGCACAAAGAACCATATATGGAATATTGTATAGAAATACCGCAAGATTTTGATGCGTGCATTTAGTTCCATAACTCATAAATTTGCGATTTTGAATAGATGATACAAATTATGTGTTGAAATCAAATAAAAGAAATTAAAATAAACAATTTTTAGTCAATTAAGAAATATGGCAATTGATATAGTTCGAAAAAGGTTTAAATTTTTGATAAATAAATAAATTATGTGCATTTCGATGGTACATCTAAATTTTAACTTTCTGTTTGATAAATTTATTGTTTAAATCAACTTAAAGACATTTCGGTACCAATTAGAAGCAAAACAATTACATTCGGCACTTTGTCCCATTGATAATATAAATCCAAACGTCAAATGTACATTTTATTTATTTATTTATTTATTACGAAGCCTACATTTATGCCAATACGTGTTAAAAGCGAGCTGAGAACATGCTGGTCAGAGACCCAATACGGCATAAATTCCGTCCATGGTGCGTCTTTTGCAAAGAGAATAAGGTCAGGCTCCCCTAGGATGGTAGTAAAGTGAAGCTTCAATATCAGAATTGGATCCGGAAAACCATGGAAAAACTGGCCTGACTCTGGAGAGCCAGGGGAAATACAGTAATAATTATTTGAAGCTAGGGGTTTGCATGTATTTTTATTGGATGATATTTGCGTATTATCGTTGCGTATTAGCATATCGGTGAAATATTGGCATATCGGTGAAAGATCGGCATATCTGTAAAATATCGTTAATATTCGGATATTTTTTGATAAATAATTGTTCTGGAAGTGGGTTTTGGTGGATCCTCAGGATCATCAGAACCGCTCCCAGTTCTGGGATGATCGCGGGATGATCGCGGATCGGTGAGAACATTATGCACAAAAAGATTTTCAGGAATTGACGATTATGAAATACGACGATCGAAGATGTGTGACATCTCAACAACGACTTTCTCATAAAATTAAAACATGGGGTCATTCACGAAATTCTAGTGCATCTAGTTTTTGATAAGATTTCACTAGAAAACTAGAAAATTCTAGTGCGTGAAGTTGGCTCTCAGTAGTTTTTCATATAAATTATATGGCCTTTGGTGTGAAGTTGGCTTCGTTTGTGACGTCATTCTTCACACTAGATTTACTAGTTTTTCTAGTATTCACTAGCGTGATTCGCCCCATGAATTAAAAACATGGACATGCAGTAATATTTGGAGAAAAAAAGGAGCTACTTTTTCTCAGCAACGATTCATATGGCCTGCAATTATGGAATGGCAATTTGCCCAAAAAGAAACATCTATTTCAAAGTGGAAAATTTCTAAGTATGTTGGCCATACATTTGAAGCAGCCAAAAATTTCCTTAGATATTTTAGATTCCAACATACAACCGCATTTTGCACCAGTCTTTGTTCGGCTAATTGCACTAGCCGAATTTGGCCATTTTGCAGAGGCACTACAAGTTGTAGTCTACAACTAATTGAAGAACGGAAAAAAGATTTTCCGAATTCTAACATATACGCTAGCGTGGTGGGTATTTCCATTAATTTGGTTGATTTAAAATATTTGTTCATTTGTCTGTAATTCATTTTCAGGTTGAAAGAATCATCCAACGACGGAAGACAAAACCAAGTTTTCAAAATTATTTGATACCATTCCACTTTATAAATGGAAAAATGTAATATTAGTGGAATTCTTTTAATTAAAAATATATTTAACTTTTTACATTTTGTATACATTTTTCTATTGATCAAGAATAAGACGCAAGGCAAGAAGCGTATTCTGTTTCGTGTTTTCGTAACTGACGTACGGTGCAAATGCCCCGGGCGAACACTGCAATTTGAGTGCTTGGATACGTCGAATACATTTCATTTTTTGTGGATTTTATTATTTTATTTCATTTTATGTACATATTAGAATTGATTTGATTATGATGATAATATTATTAGAATTGATAATGGAACAGAATGAAAAAAGAATCGATTCATTATCAGAATTGTAGAGTGGCCTTACCATTATGATCTCGGTCATTTTTTTTTCATCTTTGTTGTCTGTGTCATTAAAACCTTGTGATATTTTTAAATTTCATTGAAATAAAACACTTTGAACGAATTAAGTAGCAGCGGTTGTTTTGTTTGCTTTATTAATATATAATATATATATATATATCATAAATACCTTAACATTTTTTTGTTTCCTGGTTTCTAAAATACTAATCAATACGAAGATTCGCATGTAATATATTTTTTTGTTTGTTTTATATTAAGGATCTGGTACGATAATATATCCACTTTATCTATTTTTTGTTGCTGTTGTATCCTTCTGAATTTTTATGTTTCTCTTATATTTCTTAGCTAACGTCTATTTACAAATTTTCTGTTATTTATTTCCTTATTCTGTAGTTTTTCCGATCATTTTTTAATTAAATAAAAAGTGTGTCTCTCAATTGAGTTTGTTTTTGTTTTGTTATGAATAAAAATAGTTTTTTTTTATTTTTTTTTATCTTAAATTTCAATTTTTCCGAAATTTGGCTATAACAAAAAATTAAATCAAAATAAAGTGGATGTGATACACTTCACGCGATTGAAAGAAAAAAAAATTAAAATGTTGCGATGAATATAAAAACTGAAAAAATAACGTTTTTCAAAGTCGACGTGAAGTGTCCAAACCGCATTGAATTTCAATTAAATGCAAACTGATTGTTCCATAAATTTATTACATTTGTGTTTTTTATTTTCTTAAAAAAAATCATCATGTCCAATGAAAATTACATTTACACTTACACAATTTCTATAGTTCATTGTATCAAAACTACGAATATATAGATAGATTTTTTGTTTGTTGCTGTTGTAGTTGGTATTTTCTTTAACACGTGATGCAGGTTTTTGTTTTAATTTGATATTTATTGTTCGTACAACGTGACCACATTCATATGTGTGTCTTTCATTCGAAATTTTCATTTATTTGAAGCATTTAAAACGATTCCATTTTTTCATTCATATTTTAATGTGCGATGTTATTTAAAAAATCAAAATCGATATATATACCACCAAAAATAAACGAAATATTATTGCAATGACAGTAATGAAACGAATTATGGCAGTTATATCCATATATATTTTACTGTGGCAGTAAGTGTTCCGAGTTTTGATCATTGTCATGTCATGCCATTTGTTTTTGTTTTTCAACGGATTTTGCTTTTCTACAATCATTAAACGGCGTTAAAATCATAATACACAAAAATGTTCAAGCATTTAAATTGTTGTGATTTCCAAACACAATGGTGGCGAACAAAAATGTACATTTTGGCACATTTAAAAATGTTAATTTTTTTTACATTTTTCTTTTCGAACAAAATTCAAAAACTATCCTGGAAAGTTGAAAAAAACATATAGCCATTTAATTCAATTGTTTGTTCGTGGAAACAATAAAAGAAAAACAAACAAAAACATCGAAAATTGGGTCAAATCGATTGCGTGCACATTTTCAATTTGAAAATCGTGATTTAATCGAATTGAAAGTTGTTAGTTGAAAATCATGCAACTTAGACAATCGCAAATAAAAATGTAAGTGGATGGATTTAACTGTCTCGATGAAAATTGTAAGAGGAAGTAAAAAAGGAAGGTGTTGTTGAAAAACAAATGAAATAAAAAAAGTTACTATCGATCTGATGAATTTATTTACTAAATGCTCAAAGATGAATCACGTTATGAACTAAAAATTTTGCAGTAAAAATATGCCCGAACCGAAAAAAGACTGAACTTAATCGTAGTCTATGTTATGATTAATTTTTTTTTCTCGTCCCATTTTTATATTGAAATATGTAATCGGCTTTTAATATGATAATCTGTATTGCTTAAGTGTCAGTTTATTCTTAATCACATGTGTGATTAACAATAAACACCGGTGTTATACAGGTAATCAATACACGTGTCAAAGAAAATGTGGTTTTAATGAAAATTCCGTTTTTGATTATAATTTTTTTTATAGGTTTCAATGCACTTGCATACGAACGATGAGATTACGGCGAAAGAATCGTATAATAAACAATCGTAAATGCATTGCGTCGACATAACAAAAAATTATGACAAAATAAAATTGTTTATCGGCTTGATAAACATGTTTATTATCAAATGGGTTGTGTATATGTTTGTGATTGGATTGCATTTCCGTTAAAGTGCTATTATTGAATTTCAATGAACTCAATATTCGCTTCTCTTTGACACTCTCTCCTTGTAGTTATCGGTTGATTTTATAAACGTCTTTTAATTGATTTTCGTTGTCGGCATGTTCTCTCTCTATGAGCGTGTTTGTCTTTCTTTGTGAATCATCAGACGCGTATTTGTTCCGCGTAATTTTTTTTTCATTTTTTTTATAATTTTGAACAACGACAAGTAAACATCCATATTTAACTGATCTATTGGGCGTGCGCTATTTTTTGTATTGAAATCAGACCGTCGAACCTATTGAAATGCTCTTTCTCACAACTGAATACAACAATCATTTATTACTTTTGTCTATTCAAATCATGTTTTTTTGCTTCAATGCGTGACTCACTTTGCTCATTTCTTTTACTTAAGACTTTGTAAAACCTTCTCTTTCGTTTCAGTGGATTTTTTTTGTTAAACAAAATTACATATATTTAGATAAATTCTCCTCTTTCAATGAAAACAAATGTTAAAACGGTTAAATGCACTTAAAAAATTTCTTCCGCTCTCTTAACAACTAAAGCATTTTGTTTTTCAATATCAGCAGTACATACATGCACATGACATAATATGAGTAGTGCAATGCGTAACGGAAAAAATTTGTCAACTCCAGAATTTGATTCCGTTGTGTGTATGTGTTTGTTTTTCTTGTAGTTTTTGCTTTTTATGTATCTTAAAAAAATAAAATGAATACGATGTCTCTCACACATACACTACAGCCACACGAACGTTGCTTGAGTGCTGGGATCGTGATGCGCGAATTGGTGTCTATTTACTACCGCTAGATAAGTAAACACATAGACACTAATTTACTATTTAAAAGAAACATCGGGGTACACATTCCTATCAATTTTTTTTTCTTTACACTTAATTATACATTTTACATTTACAAATCGATATCCATTGATTACTACATAAACGTGTTGTTTATTTCATTCGTTACAATTTCTCGTAGAGAGATTTTTTGTAGAGTGTATCAATTTAATATGTGTTTTTTTTACTTCGTATTTTTATTTTATTTTTTCCATTCTGTGTATATTTTGTTTTGTTATGTTTGATTTGTTTGCACAAACTTTTAACGCCACTAAATCACACGGCATTTTCAATAAATTTCATGTGGATGCAGTGCGTCCCAATGGAGATGGATTTGTTGTTGTTGGCAAAATACACGTATGCACATCGATCGATTTATAGCCATAATGGACCTAATGTTTTTTCTAATATATCGACTGCATCATTTCTGCCCATGCTTCGTAATGTACCCGAAAGTTCTGCTAGAGCGTTTGATTCCCGGCATTTGCATTCCCACAAATCGAGAATTTGTTCGGTGGGCGAGGGTTTGGTTGCAAAAAATGCAATGTATCGATCGACTTTAAGTCGATGGGCTAACATTCGCCAATCATTACCACGTGATGTTGGCGGATCCAAACAGGCACATAGTTCACGTTTCGCTTGTCGGGTTAATTTAAATGCGGTTTGTTCACCATCGCCAGCTTGTATACATGCTGTGACCCCTTTCTCCGAAATGGTAACACTACGCAACGAATTATCACTATATTCATCGATGACGCTGAGCGTATCTATTGGCAAAAATGGTGCAATATGCGTTGCAATCACTTCGCCACCCTGTCTTTGCCGTGCAACAACTTCCAATTTTAATCCCGTCGATGACGTTGCATTTGTTGCATTATTATCATGGTCATTGTTATTGACACGTTGCAATGCAAATGCACAATGCAATGCAAAACTATTATTCCATACATGTGAAAATGGTATTTTTTGACTTTCGGTGCCAGTCTTTGCACGCCATCGTCCGATACATTTTAAATTGAGATTCAAATCTTGTAAATTGTCTTGGAATGTGAGCGGTGCACTTTGTCCCAAAAATGTTCCGCCCAAACGATTCTCCAAACTGGTACAATAATCTTTTGAGCTTGGAAAATCTTCAATAACATATACACGTATGTTGCAATCGGTGTTTGGTTGAATTGATGGCCCGAATAGGAACAATTTAAGCCGTTTTACTGCACGCATTCCGCTAACTAACGATTCACCAACCAATACAAATCGACCCAAAAATTCCGTCATTATGTATGCATATTTTTCATCCATTTGTACATAGGCTGGTGTATTAATCGTTTCTTCGCCCAAAGTAACAATTTTTCGCCACTTTGGTTCGATTTCCTGGATGTGTGCATTCGAATGGTATAACGATATACGCCATTGATCGAGATTTTCAGCACAATGCGGTACACGCAATACAACCGGCTTATTTATATTGATATCGGTTGGGCCACAGTGTACGATTGGTGATATATGCGAACACACTTCGGGTATGCAAGCACGAATACTGTCCTCGTGTAATACTGATAAAAAGATACTGTGCTTTTGGTTTTTGCCAACAGCCAATTCCGGAATCGATAGCGCAACATTCGCATTATTCAATTTCAAATATGCACCAGCTGACGTTACTAATTGGCGTACGGTATTCGATTTGGGGAAATTTTTATGAGACATCGGCAGTGTTGGGGGTTCAGTTGCAACATCATACGTTGAATCGGCTGGAAAATAAAGCAAACACATGTTAATTTAATTAAATCGACAGCAACGAATTTGAATGAATAAAAAATTAAAAACAAGAACAAGAAATTGCTGTCAATGCAGAAGTATCGATTTCTCACAATGATAACTTACAAGTATTGGTGGTTGTTGCCAACGAGTCGGTGCTGTGAATTCGTTTCGAATAGTTTGATGAGCTATATGAGTCATTTCCGCTAACTTTATCCATTGGCGTTGCATAGCTAAAAGAGTGAAATAAAAAAGTAGATGAAAGAAAATATTAAAACCAATGAATTATGGCAAACCATTTGACTATTTTATGCACTTCTTGAATATTTAACCGTCTGAAAACAATGTTTATGAAACCCACACATCGACCGAGGCGAAAAAGAGATTTAAAAGCGAGACAGACAGAGTGCCAGAACATGTCTTGCTTGGATTGTAAAAAATAATTTCAGAATTGTAAAAAATTCATCAGTTTTCATAAGATAGTAACGTCGTGCCGATGTAAGTATTATATTTTAGTGGGCTAGCGCCGTTGTTAGAACTCGAATCTGTATGTTTTTGGTTCAATCAAGTGGCGTGCAATTGGTTCAATAGCCGTCAATTATTATTGCTTTGATTGTATTATTCACAAAATAATGGGGTAAATTTTCCGTCAATTATTAAGAGCGTGGATAAATCCATCTCTAAATTTTTTTCACTGATTTTCTATTAAATATTCAAAAGATCGCATTCTTCGAACGATTTAGCTTTTTCGAAAGTCGTTTTCTGCATTACAAATAAATTGGCAAATTGGTTTTTCGAATAAATCAATTCGTCTGAATAATGATTTTATTTTTGTTTTTCATTCTTTACTCACTTATTTGCTAAATGTGGCACATCATAATGATGTTCGGATATTGATCGAGGTATCTGCAATGGTATACTTTGAACAATTGTACCGGTGACACTGCCAGCATTGCTGCCGGTATTTGCTAAGCTTGGCAAATGTCCATGATGATGTGAATTTAATGGTGGGTAATCATAATTAGCTGTAATATTATTTCGCGTTAAATCCGGTTGAAATTGTATCGTTGCCTTTTTGTCTGGATCATGAAAATATTCGGGTTGCATTTCTGAAAAATAAAACAAGAAAAAAATAAACATGTATTAAAAATTAATGATTGAAACAGACGACAATGAAGACCAACTACAAAAAATCAACAGAATTGTAATCACTGTTTTTTTTTTCTCAATTTTTTGAATCAACAAAAAAAGCATGCTTTCTCAAATCGAATGAACGCACGACGAGAAAGAGAGTGAGAGAGAAAATCAAATGGAATGCGATAAATCAGACTCTCAGTTGTACAAATATCTGTGCCGACACAATCAAAAACACGCATATTTTAATCACATTTTTCCATTTAATTAAAATATTCTGTGTTGGACAAAAGTATTTATGGTTCATGTCATTTAATGCGATTTACAATATCGTGAGCGCATTTTTACTCGCACGTGCGTTTACATTGAAAATTATATGTGTTTGCCGTTGTATTGAATTGTTTTTTTTTTTTATCATGCATGAATTTAATAAACAAATGGTTATGAATTGGTTTTCACATAAAATATCTCCATTTTTTTCGCTGTTGATTTTTCGTATCGAAGCAAATGAGCAAAAATTATCCGAATTACAAGGAGACCTGTAGACTGCACATTGCTTCAAATGAAATAATAATATTTAACATACATTTTTTCTCTGTATGTTTGTAACCATGGTTGGTTTATGACGTATTTTCATCAATCTATTTTACGCTTGCACGATTTTACGAGACAACGGAAAGGTATAAAAATGCACATTGACATGCAGAAAAAAATAAAGAGAGACATAGAGAAAGAGAAAAAAGCGCAAAATCCGACAACGACAATAATAATCACGACGCCAGCAGCTAGCAACAAAATTGAGAGCAAAACTAGCCAAGTTTAATTTTTAATATACATTTTAAAATATGAAAACCATCGTTATTCGTCAAAAATGTGAGCATGTTTTTTTTATCTTTTGGGCATGATGCAACGGAGAAAGAGATTCCTTCAGACCGGTAACCAATTTGTCGGGAGGAAATCATAAATAAAATAATAAACAAGAGAACTATTTCGTAATTTCAATGAATGTTGTGGAATGCTCCTGCTTTCTTTTATCGTTATTTAATTTGCACAGGTTTCATTCGACCGAGAATTAGTTTTTACGGTGCGAATAGCCGGATCAGTCCATAAAATCGTAATTAGCTGATGGACTTTTCTCCCATGAATTTTTAGTTACATTTCGATTCATTTCGTTCCGTTTCATATTCTCATTCATCGTATAATATTTTGGTTTTCAAAAGATTTTTTTTCTCTACACACAATTTCACTATGTGTTTGTTTGTGTGTGTTCGCTGTGCCTTTTTTTCTCTTTTGCGCAATTTGAGAATATTTTGAAAGGAAAAACCGACCAGAAAGAAGAGAGTTCGGCAAAAAAAACTTTATGATAAAAGTTTCCTGTGCAAGTTTTTCTTCCTTTTGGTGCTGTTGAATAACGCAACAAAAGTATGGTCATTGCATGGAAGAATAGTTGGAGAAAAAGAAGAAGAAATGTGAGTTTTCATTCGTTTCACTTTTTGGTCGTCGAAATGATTTTTCATGTAGTTTTCCATTCAACGCATATGAAAAATATTAAACTGAATGGCTTTTGAATGTTATGTACGCAACGAACCTTCTCTTTCGTTCTCACTCAAATTTTTATTCGAACCAAGAAAGACTCGAGCTTTTCAACGAGCCAAACGACAACGACACACAAGTACTTGGTTCCGTTTTTCCAAAGGAGCGGATGATAAAGTTTTTTTTCCCATTCTCTTGCCAAAATGAAAGAATCACAATTTATGTTCAGCAAATCAGTGGAAGAAGAATATAAATCCTCAACTCATTTGACAAAAACCAAAATGAGGTAATGCGTTGCCCAAAACATAAACTTGTGCATCGAACAATATACAACGAAAGGTATATGACTTTGTTATACTACGCGCGCTCTTTGTTCATTTGTCGCTGATTCAAAGAGAAAGAAATAGATGCGGTGTGGCTTTTACAGCGAAAAACTCTTCAGAAGTTTTATTTCAAAATCGAAAAGTATTGCTCGTTTCTCTCCCTCTCTCTCTTTCTCTAAAGATCTCTATACTCTCTATGACAAACTCTCAAGTTTAATCATCCGGTTTGAAGAGTTGAAATGAACTGTAATTTCGAATTGCAGAAACGAATCAAAGAAGCTGAAACTAGACAACACATAGGTCGATGTAAAGTGCGGCCAATTGAAATGTCTGAACACACAAACGGATTTCGTCGTGCATATCCGTGGCTAATTGGCATAAATGATATCCAACTTAAATCATGAGTTTTCCATATCACGGTTTTCCTGCACGGTGTACATTTTACAATTGACCATTTCGCTTGAGAATTAAGATTGAGAATTTCACCCAATAAAAACTACTGATAATTAAGCAGCAAATAATTGAGAAAGAGAGAGAGAAACAAACCGATTTTCATTTATCTATTTGATTTCGTTTCGTTTTGCATCGTTCATGGCGAGATAATATCGCGGCTATATTTTATTTTATCGGTGAAGGCATCACGGTTATGGCCCGAAACGTCATGTTAAAAACATTAAAGATTAAATGAATTCGATCACCGTTTGGTTAGCTCGCGCGAGCACTAATAAAGAGAGAGAGAGACATGAAATGAAATTTCCACCAAATGGAATATAATCGCGTTCTCTCTCATAAAACCACATCAAATGATCACATGAAAATGTTTATCGCCCGAAAGTATCGTAAAAACTGTTCATCTTATCACTTTTGGACTTGTTAATCTCCATTTGAATCAATGAACCATTGTCACTTTTGGTCGTTTTGTCGTCGGTAAGTAAAAAAGCATTAAATTTGATCGTCTATCTGTTCGGTGATATGTGTCCACTGTCCACACACTCCACAACAAACACAGATGATGCAATAAAATCGCAATGAGGGAAAATGTACACTTTTGACATTTGATTTCATTGCGGCGCTTCTAGTGAAACGAAATATTTTTTTTTCTTCTTCTTCTTCTTCTTTAAAGCTTTACGATGTTGGCGCACCAAGTAATAAAAAAATAATTTACTCATGTTTTATTGTTGTGCAAATAAATAAAATTGAACGCGAGGCGCGTCATCGTCGTCAATTTTGCAGGCTTGTTTACTGTCATCACACATTCGGCAAAATGTCAAGTGCATTTTCTATAAGTCAGTAAATCTTTTATTGAACTTGCATAAGTTGCCATTAACGGCAATTGGTGTTGATCGGGCAACAAACACATATACATTTTTATATATATGAAACTAAATAGCATTGAACAGTTTCCATATCGAGATAACGGCACAAACATTTTCTCCTTTTTTCTCTCTATCGATTTATTGAACGATGCGCTTCGTCAAACGTTTTATCAAAGATTCTGCTTTTCGTCTCTCGCTCTCTCTCTCTCTCTCTCTCTCTCTCTCTATCTCTCTCTCTCTCTGTGTGTGTGTGTGTGTATTGGAACGTGTGCACAATATCAAAGTGATGATCTTAAAGAGGTGTCACTATCGTGTATCAAAATCCCAGCTAGTTTTTTTTTCTTTCTCACATCGATTTCCACTTTTATCACATCAAATCTTAATCGCAAGCCGCAAGGAATAAACTGTTTTATGCGTGGCATGATGTACAAATTATAAATTATTTGATAGAAACGAAATTGAAAAAGAGGTGAGAGAGATGGTGGCAGAGCGAGGAATTTTTGTGAAGAAAAGAATCCACTTTGTGATATTCATTACTATTATGTTGGCGAGTGGAGTTAAGCCATTATTATTGATGGTATTTGATGTACGCTTTCTCATTCTGCATATACATATTTATGATATTTGACAATTTTTATGGCGTGAATATGATGACATATCGATATATTTAATGGACTCGTTTGAAGTAGCTACATCATTCCATGGAGTTGTGCACACAAGTGGTGCGATTGACAGGCGACAGTTGATTCAAAATTAATCACACATTAATTTACCTCTCATCAAATTTATTGACACATCCGATAAAAATCTAATCGAATCAATTTTTTTCTTTCTTTTTCCGTCGGCTTGGCTTTTTTTGGTTGCCTTCATATCTGCTATGCATTCAAATTTATTACACGCTCCGCTTTTTCCTTCTTTGATATGATTATATTACCGCGAACAAACGAATAACAACAACATCAACGAAGGAAAAAAAAATGTGTCGGAATTATAATGTGCGCGATGAAGCTTTTTGTTAATCGCAGCAGAAAGAGTCCAGGTTGAAAAATGTGTGACATATTATATGCTTTTATAACATAATCACGTTTAATTCAATCAGTGGTTGTGTGCGTGCGCTCGACAAAAGCGAGTCTGTACGTATGGAAATTGGAACCACAAGAGAAAGGGAAGGAGAACGTGTAATGGTGGTGGGTTTTTTTTCGAGAGCATATGCCGGAAAAAAGGTAAATAAATATTGAATTATGTGAGAAAACACGCATTTATGATTATTGGTATTTGGCGTTTGCCGCTCTGTATATAACATCTATTCTAATGCGCGAGATTGAAGCGATGTTGATGATGTTGATGAAAAAGGAAATGAATTAAAATAATAATAATTCGTGTGTTTTGGTCGCTACACAACCGGCTGCACATCAAAAGAGACAACAAAATAATACCTGTATGATAACGAAATGAAATTCGATCGACGGATAAAATATTTATTATATGCATGACTGAAAAAAGTAAACACAACATAAAATATTGGTTTTGTGTTGAGATTGCTGAACAAAAAAAAAAAAAACAGGGACATAACAACATATTAAAAATATTCCTGAATACGTGCTCCACACGACAACCACACAGACTGCATAGTATTTTGCTGAAGAAAAGCCACAAAATACCGTTGCAGATAACAAAATTGGTGAACTTTTGTATCGCTCTAAAATAAAATCAAAATATGATGAGAATAAGTTGCCAGCGAAAAAAAAACACACACACATCGACAGCATTCCATCGGCTTGCCATAATAATAACAGTAATAAT